TGTTTAATGTCTGTGTCATATTTTTTTCTACTAATTATTTTTGCTTGGCTAGAATCACCGCATGGTAAACCCCTGCGTGGGAAGCTCTTGCAACCGGTTAAGTACCCGTTTCACTATGTTAATTCATAAGTATTACATAACAATTTGTTTAAGACGTATTGAACAAGGCTACTGTAGTTTATAAACTTCACAAGCCTAAGATTCTAACCGCAAAGTTCACTTTTATAGATTTTATGTTTCTAAGTTATTTTCACAATATAGAAAATTCTGCCGAGGAAATTTTAAGCCTTGAAATATACATTGCGTTACTGGTATAAGTTATTTTTATGCGAAAAATGTGGTAAGTAAAGATATGGTGGCCTGATCGAGGGCGGCTATAGCCTATAGTATAGACGCCTGTTATACCAGAGTGTTAGGAGCACGTTGACTATTATGATCTCGTCCTCTACCCCGGGATGCCTTGGAAATCTTAATCACCAACAGAAATACAACACTTTTAAAATATCATATATGTAGGTTTTATTATGTTATTTATAGTGAAAGGTCGATATGCAGTCTCTTCCCGGAATGACAACTTTATCCTAGGTTTGACCAAAGTCTCCTGACAAACCCCGAAATGTATTCTGATATCGGTCTTTGACTATATTAAACCAAGAAGTCGCTAACTTTTCAGTCAATCTGATTCGAACTTTGTTTAGTCGGTCCTAGAAGCGACTGAAGGACTCGGTCAAACGTAGACTATATTTGTAACATGTTGAAAGCAGTATTCACTTGCGATTTTCCACTTACACATTAATACTTTATCTGTTAAGTTACATGTAGGTTTTTAATTTCAAAAATGTGCCCGACGGTAAGCTATCTCTAAGGATATAAGTACAAAAGATTCTAAATTTGGGGGCCTAGGCTGTATAAAATATATCATCGCAAGAAAAAATGCTCTTCAAAATTATGTAAATTTAAGAGATCTCACGTATTATGCAATTCTAAATGTCATACTCACATGTATGAAGAAAGAAACAATAATGATTAAAAAAGAAACGTTTTATTACTCCTAATCTAACAAACTAATACATTCTAACACTTAATTGAAGTTTGACTGGTTAAACCCCGATATCATTAAATTGAGTTTCGACGTATGCCTAACCAAATAAGTTTCTCATAGGTTTGACGAACATTCTTTAGTCTGAGGCCGAAAAGTTAAGACTTAGACTTCAAGTCAGACCTGAGGATTGACTAGTCAAACTTAGGAGCGCCGGAGCTTCTGGCTTTGACTATAACATATATATGTTATACTATAACAATAGTGTTATTTCAATATATTGAGTTGTCCCAGACTTTTCATCAGACCATTAGGCCTGTTCGCTAACGGTTTTTGACAGATAGAAGTGATAATAGTCACCGAGCCATTTACAAAACTTCTACTGCTTTATTATGACGCCACTAAGATACTTGTCCTGAAAAACATCGATGTATCCTATGCCATTTTCTCTTTACTCTCTGTAAATGTCAAAAAAGTTAGCGAATACACCAACTTAACATCCACATACCAATAGCCCTGGGATAACATAATAATTCAATATTATTCATGCGAGTGTATAGCCAATAGTCAGGCCGATATCGCTGCAACTAAAAGGAAAGTCACAAACTAAAACATACGTAGGTATAAGTAACAACGAACTTTTCGTTCTAGTAAAGTATGTCAATTCCACTGGAGTGATTAGCAGCTGTCAACAGTGCAACTCCCTAATATATTGAGGAACTTAATTCTATGACGAATAACGTAACCAATGAACTAGAAAGGAAGGGGTCACCATATTTTATGGAATGCCCTGACATGAGTTATTGCCACCGTTTATCTTTTACAAACTTCGGACAAGGATGAAACATAGATTGTCATAACACCCGCTGGGTCAGCATCGACAGCTCTAGACAATCTAACAATATTTTACCTTATCTAAACCCTAAAGTCACTGGAAAACTACTCATCCTTAACCGAATTGACTACTGAGTAATGCTAGGCCATATAATAGGGTTATTTGTCATTTAAAAAAATATTTACCAACTTTCATATTACAGAGAGTGCAAAAGATTATTTGGGAGTAGAGAAAATAATCCTGAATTGCAGGGAATCCCAGAAAACATATGAACTACTGAAAGGAGCAAGGCTGACCTGACTTCCACTCCCGGTAATGCATGGGATTGATATTTAATTAATGTCTACCAGCAAACCAGTGAACCAAATGTTCACCAAAACCTGATTTAAAAAAAAATGTATTTAATTAATTGAGAACTTCGGAGATTTTGTGTGGTTTCGTTTGAAATTCGTGATTTCTCGAAAACCGGAAGTGCTACGTTACTCAAATCCGGTTTGTAGTCTTATCAGACTATTCTTAACTTATAACTTAAATATTCTCTTTATCTATCTCTTACGGTTTGGACGCTGAAACAGCACCACAGACAGACAGACGGACGGACTTGTCTAATAGATAAGAGATTTTATTTATTTAACTATTACGAGTTGTTGAACATCTCTGATGCTCTAGCAAGGGATCAAGGAGAGGAAGTGTGTTAACCATTACCCATTTTAAATCACATATCAAAACATGTTTATTTATTTTTATAACTTCCCTCCTTTTGAAACCTTAATAATTCTTGTAAAGAGAAAATGCTCTAATTTACAAATAAGTTTCTGAAGTGGCCTTGCTTTCGAAAATCAGTTCGTGCGAGTACAGTAACTCTGTGTTCAATCTCCATTGCTTTTTATCATACAAGTTTTCGATAAGCTAGTCTGCTCCGACCAGTATTGAATTACGCACAGGTGAATTTTCCATAGTTGTATGTCGATGTTAAGTGTTTTATGTGGTTGTCAGTATTTATTTTACAACCTAACTGATTTATTCTAGATCGGTGTGTCGTAATGTTCTCGATATCGCTTCATGACGTAACCAGCATGCGACAAATGGTTTAGAAATTTGAACTTATAATCTTTTGAAATGTAATGTTGGTTTTGTTTGTTTACTTTATACTGTTATTGATGTTGAGATTGCAATTTCCTTATTTAAAAACGTCGATATTGAAGCATTATATAAATTGGATTTAGTTAAGACCATAACGGAGATAAAATTTGCCGTAGCAATTTCGTTTAGTTATTTTAATTGAGCAAGTATGTTGCAACGTTTACGGTTGTCTATGGAAAAATTTTTTAAAGGCGATGAATTTAAAATCTATTTATCATTTATTGAGTATGTAATCATCTTTACCGTTTTATGTTATTAGGTATATGTTAAACTAAATTAAACCAATAAGGCACACTTGCGCAGTCGACCTCGTTTATATCCCTGTTTAATGCTAACTCGAGTATAAATAAATGTCTACTTTGTCTTGCAATGCCCATAGACTACAGGCCCGTGTTAAAAAAATATGGGTCATTTGAACCACCAGAAGACCTATTTAGAAAGATAGAAGGACATAAAATAATAAGATTCAGCACTATGCCGTCACTGGTAAGCTGTCTAACTGAGTGCAGGTGAGAATTCAAAGTACAGATAGAGGGAGTACATTTGGGTCATATATTTTTGTATGGCATTCTTATCATCGATGGATCCATAAAAATAATAAGAAAACACGAAGTTCCCTAAAAAATAGTGCACCACAAAGTCGTGATTTTTTTTAATTTTCCGATGATTTTCAAGGTAAATTTGGTAATTTGATTCTGTACTGCATCGGTTCCGTACAGTTTCAATACCTCTTCTAATTCCACTATTTTGCAATGCCGTACAAAAATAATGTGACAAAGCTGGCAAAATTGGTGCGTTAAATTCATATCTTCAGGTGTGCCACACATTACTGAGATTATACTCTTTTTGTGTTTATGATAGGGGAACCCAAGTGGGGCTTTTTTTTGGATTTACTCGAGCGCTGCAGATTAACTTACGGAGGTTAACCTTGCCCCTAGTTAACTACTCAACCCATACCTGAGCCCTCTATGTAAGGCCGAACGTCTAGGGCAGCCAAAAAAAAAAAACAACGCACGGCCATGACTTTTGGTCGTCACTCTTTTAAATAGAAGCTACAAGGGTTAGATCTAACGTTTCTCAGAACAGAAAAAATATTGATCTGCTGCTATTCGCATAGTTTGGGGGAGGCCGTACGGAGACGTACGGTAACTCTAACCTCCATGATGTTTGATCGAAATTGCAGTCTGAGATCACATTTATGTTGTGTTTTGTGCATGCTCAGCGGCGGATAATTCATGTAGCATAAATACTGCTTAATATAATCGAAATTTGCCGATTCAATTTAATTCAATTTAGAATTTCTAATAAAAACCAACATTTTATAACATAAAATAAATTTATTTATCATTTTATTTATTATTAAATTTGTAATTACATTAATTACACTCTTTTGTTCATATTGGGATGGGAACGGATATAAGCGTCTACTATCTAGTGAAGAATAGCCGAACTGATACACTTCAGTTATTATGCATACAAGTAGTTTGCTTTTTAGTTTCCCTACATGCTGTGTGCTGATAAAGGTACCTGCTTGCACCTCATAATGCCCCTTGCATGCCTCGTAACGGCTTCACTTGATTTTTTGGAGCAAACCCTACACATCTCCTTTTTTGTATTTGCCCCATTGTGCCCCATACATATGCTGCGATCTCGATTAGAATAATCAGCCGCTTAGCTCACGCTTTCAAATTGCACCACATATACGAACTCATACTTTATTGTTGATATCAGTGGTGCAATATACCACTTTGTATGTTTATTACGACGTATTGTCAGCATAGTGCCAATAGTGTGGATTTAAAATTCTGTCCGAGTTCACGTTCAAATTCTGACTGATAGTGAGCCTGTGCAAACTGCATATCTAGCGCCGAACAATTTGTTTGGATGAACTGCTTCCTTCAGAGAATGATCTGTTACTGTTTTTTTAATATATATTATAAAAAAGCATTTTAATTAATTTATCAATTATTCAATTGTAATGAGTTACACTAGATTTATATTATGATTAGCTGCAGCGCAGGGCAGATTGCAGCGTGGGGTTATGTGACGTAGGTGGTGCCGGCGCAAAACCGGTGGTTGAAGGTGCTGTAGGTGGGTACTGTTGCATACTGTTACTGCGAGCTCAATCGCGACCTAAGTGCTTTTTACAGACACATATACGAACCCATATTCTATCGTTCATACCAATAGTGCATTATAAGCTTAGTACGGCTGAATTGAATTGACAGTATAGTGCCAATAGTGTGGATAACTGCTTCCTTCTGAGAATGATCTGTTACTGTTTTATCAAAGATATATTATTTAAAAGCATTTAAATTAATTTATCCATTATTCAATTGTAATTACATTAATTACACTAGGTTAATATTATGATTAGCTGCAGCGCAACGTAGGGTTATGTGACGTAGGTAGTGCCAGCGCGGAACCGGTGGTCGAGGCTGCCGTAGGTGGGACGGTAGCGCGGCGTGCGCTGCGTCCACGGACTGCGCCGGTTCTTGTAGCTCGAGCACGCGATCAGGCTGTTCATAGCCGGCGGCCGGGACTGCTCCAAGCTGATGCCGCAGCGGCGACTGGCGAAGATATTTTTAATGAGGGTGTTTAGGGAAATTTACGTCAGCATTTGGCGCCACTGTGACAACAGGTCTTTAGTATGTCGTTTTTAGTGCGAATTAATCTAACGAGATCATTCAAATCGATCCACAGACTATGACGACGTATATGATTTGACGGATGAGTAGACCTTTCGTCTCAGTGCTGCCACCTGGTGCCCGTCATTCCAAAAAACCTTCATCGTAACTAGTCACAGTGAGGGTATCTGGTCTAGCTGGCTACAGTGTAAATACTTTTTCTATTATAAGTAGTAACTAACGACATTTTTGTTGATCCTATCATCATCTCTAAGCAAACCCTTTTACCATTCTAGTCCAGCCACACAACTAATTTTCAGGCCATTTAAGACACCTGAATATGGATCCACTGTATTAAAGTAAATCTGCATTAAAATAACAAGACCACACAAAAAGGGGAATATTGTGGCGAAAAATTGAAGAAATGCTAAATATTGGTCCCGCATGCATCTGTAGTCGTCAGAATGAGCAGATGGTACGTTTTTGAGTTATAGCACATACGTTTAAGTTAATGTTATCTGATATAATCCGCGAATTAACGCAAGACTTAATCTATACTAATAATAAATCTGTAGATTTGAAAATATATTTCATGCACAGAATTGACCTCAATTCTGTACATGAAATATATTTTCAAAATAACTATCAGGGGGTGATTAGTGATCGATACTGATGCCAAAAATGCAATCAGTAAAATTTTTGTCTGTCTATGTGTATGTTCCTTATAGAAACAAAAACTACTCGACGGATTTTAACGAAACTTGGTACAATTATTCTTCATACTCCTGGGCAGATTATAGTATACTTTTCATCACGCTACAATGAATAGCAGCAGAGTAGTGAAGGGAAATGTTGGGAAAACGGGAGAAGTTACTCCATTTTTTAAGCTTCCGTCGCGTGTGCAGCCTTAATGGTTAAAGTTACATAGAAATCATGTATGACGGAAATATTCTACATAAAATTGTCTAAAAAATATCCCGCAACAGCATATGTCTATCTTTTATGGTTGACTCACAATAACACGTGTAATTATATAAATAAAGTCATTATTTATAGCACAAGCCTGAGAACAAAAACTATAGTTTACACTACAGCTCTACACCGAAGCGAAGCGAGGGCGGGCCACTAGTATTAAATAAAAAAATAAGTAAGTCTTCTTCAACCTCTTTTTACACGACATCCGTGATCGAGTGGTTTGTACGCCGGGTTTCAAGGTGTCGCCTAAACGAGAGATCCTGGGTACTAATCCCGGTGGGGGCAGATGTGATAAATACGAGCATTTGTACTCCAGTCATGGATGTTTAAATATGTATTTTTATATAAATCTATTATATATGTCTCTATAATAATCTATTATCTATTATATTATATATGTATTCTATCCGTTAGTAGTATCCCATAACACAAGCCTTCAGTGCTTGCTTTGGGGCTAGGCTAATTGGAATGAGTTGAAAAAATTAAAGTTCTCTGTAGTTGTTTTCCCAGATCAGCACAAGTGTTCTACAATCCGGGGTCCTTTTAGAGGGACATGAAGAAGTACCTGTACAGGCCCATTTGTTGTATCAGCTATCTTCGCTTCTCGACTTTGCTTCCACTTAACATCAGGTGGGGTTGAGTCATTTGCTATCCTTATTAAAAAATGTTCTCTAGAATATGCTTTTTTATATAGAACTAGTTGACCCCGCTTACTTCGTATGGGTTAAAATAATTTGGAAGAAATGATGGACCCGAGTCTACCGTACCAAAAGGGACGAACGTCAAATATTTGACAGGAAAGAAGATAGAACAGTTTATATGGGAAAATTAAATTGACGTTTTTAGTATCTTCCTTGCAATTTTCTTATATTTTCTCACCTTTTAAACCTTTCCTAGACCTCCACGAACATTTCAAGACCAAGATAAGATAAATCCGTTCAGCGGTTCTCGAGTTTTAGCGAGACTAACGAACAGCAATTGATTTTTATTTATATAGATGAATGAAGACCTCTTACCTCTTAGTCCTGGTAGGTGGAAGATACTTGTCTCCGACGAGCACGCTTTCGTCCAGCGTGCCATCCATTTGTAGAAGATCTCCAGCTGACACCGACACGTCCATCTTGTAGCCGCTATCGCAAGTCCAGTTATATAGGAGAACTATCAGCATCTATGAAATGAAAATCAAACTTTTCACTTTATATTGTAAGCCTTACTTTTTCCGCTTGTAGTGGGTACTCGACATAGTTTTAATTCGAGTTCAATGGTGTGTTCATTTTATACCTAAATCGTTTTATCAGTAGGTAATTAATTACTTAGATGAAACTTGTCTTTTTGTAATGAATGACAAGAAACTTACCACGACGATATGGAGTACAAAGATGAATAACGTGGAACTCTGAAAACCGATAGAGTCGAAGAGGACCCCGGACACAGTCGGACCGATGAAGGCTCCCAACGCGAAAGTGGAAGTCCACATCCCAGACACCAAGCCGTAAGTTTCAATCGAGTTGGGGAGACCGCTGGCACTGGAACACCAATTAAATGTTCAATTAAAACGGCTCAGCCTAATACCAGAGCCGATTTTAATGTTTTCTAGTAAAATTTTACTCATGTGTAAAATAGCTGTAGGATTGGCTGACCATAAAAAAAAAGACATTCATGTCACTGACAGTAAACACATAAATCGCACATAAAGCGATCGCACAATGATTTTGAATTGATTGCATTTCAAGGCGTTATCTAGGAACAATAGCGCCAAGCCACAGAATATATACACTACGCGAACAGGCGCCAGGTTGCCAGGCTTAATAATATTTTTCAAAACAGAACATCTTCGGTGTCGATTCTGCTAAAGTGATTTTATAACTCGTCTCAATATTGTGTAATGGTACCGTTTTTGACAAAGTTCTTGTTTCGTTTATGATTTGTAACAATACACGATATAATTTGTTTCTTTATCTGATATTGCTTGTGGAGCAACAGTACAACACAACACAGGTGCCGCGTTTGTATTGCTATATGTTATTGCTAGCCACGAATTTACGTTGTTGTTATTTTACGTTTTAGCTATAAGAACTATCTTAAAAAGTAATGCCAAAGAAATACCTTTGAGACATGATTACCTGTTAATTTAATTGAATCGACACCCGAGCGTTTGCTATTTACTAGCAAACACAACAAAACATTACCAATTGCTGTGTTTTCTTTCGACATCAAATGCTAAAATCATAAAACAGTTGCTTCAACACCAGATTCCTAAATTAATAAATAATCTGCCAGAAACAATTAAAAACAAAATTAATCAAAGTAACATTAATTCCATTTTAAAAACATAAGTATTTTCTATCCCTTTTAATAACAAAAACCAATATCGACATGATATAAAACTAAAACAAAATAATATGAAACACGAAATCAGCCCGTGTGTTTCCACTCTTTTGGTGTATTGCTCTGCGCGGTGTTTGGCCAACAGCTACCTGGCTTTTCACTAAAGGCGGAGCGGTATATATAAAAAAAATTTAATATCATTACCTTACCGATTAATGTCTGATGAATGAATGGTTTAATTTAAATTTGTTGATTGAGTAGACGTACCTGCGGGTCTTGATGGCGAACGGCAGTGTCCGGGAAAACCAATACTGGTTTATGAGACACTGTTATACACTTAAGATTATAATGTATTTCTTATAATATAATAAATAAATAAAAAATAAAATAAATAACCTTCTTTTGGTTTTGGCATAGTCGAATAAGCAGTTAATGATATGAAACTCAACGATGAAGAAAACCGCATTCTTTAAAATATACTTGAGGAGCAAACGAGCAGGCGTTCCACTGGATGATAAATGATTTTGCATCGCTCTTCAACATTTGTAAATGTATCTGACTCACAAATGCATTGCCAGTTGCCGGCATTTAAGAAAGGATTTTTTTCCATTTTTATACAAGTTCTAGTAAATTACTCTACTTCACCTGATGTTAAATGTAAATAGAGTCGAGTTAAGATAGACGATGTGGTATAAAAACGTGTGAATATGGCCACCCTCACTTTTTTTTACAATTCGAGAGCCACCCTCAAATGCACATAGAAGACCACACTAATATAGATCCATTTTATATTTTGGTGGTTTGTGTTTCTGACGGTATGATAAAGTTGCTGGCGATCAGCGGGCATAGGGTCAACCAGCATTTGCAATGCACCTGTGACACGGTGGCAAATAGTGGCTGAGGTAGCCGGTTACCATTAAGCGGACCTCAAGATTGTTTGCTATCCTTGTAATAGGTTGGATTTGTCCATTACCAAATTATTCAATTGTCTTTCAGTCCCAGTAACTACAAGGTTCGTACAAAAGAAAAAAAAACCCTTGCTGTAATTAAAATTATGTTTGTTATTATATATGAAAAGGAACATTTGGTATTCATACTTGTGAATTACGAATTTATCGTTGATCGTCAACGCTTCTTTATTACTCCTGAATTTGGCAAGAATGCACCCAAATTATTGTCTTGACCCAAAAAACAAGTTCAATTCTGCGAAGCCTCATTATATTTAGATTAAAGCTCTCGATGGTCTTGCGTGTCGATTAGTAGGATGCAGTGTATAATTTGTGTTGCGTTTACGCAGATTCCTTGTTTCAAGGTCTATGGGTCTCCAGAAATCGCAATATTTGTATAAATTCGGGGTTGTGCCTATTTATATGTGAATATGATGGATTACATTGGATGGCCACAGTAATTGTTATTTTATGAAGTGAGGGCTGGACCTGGCGGAATACCAGTACGGCTTCCGTACCGGCCGGTCCACGATGGACGCGGTTGGCCGTCTCAAGAGGTGGACTGAGGCGGCCACAGCTCGGGGGGAGGTGGTGATCGCGGTGTCCTTGGACATCGCGAACGCCTTCAACACCATCCCCCACGAGTGCATAGAGGCGGCGCTCGAGTTCCATCGAGTGCCACTCTACCTCCGCGCCCTCGTCCGGGACTACCTGCGAGACAGGTCAGTCCTGTACGAGGATGCGGAGGGCCGCGTCCAATCGTGGCCAGTGAAGGCAGGCGTACCCCAGGGTTCCGTATTAGGTCCCCTCCTATGGAACCTGGGGTACAACTGGATCCTGCGGGGTGAGCTCTTGCCGAGCATGGATGTCGTCTGCTTTGCGGACGACACCCTTGTAGCGGCGAGAGCGAGGGGGTGGGAGGAGGCGGTTCGCCTTGCGTCGGTCGGCACCTCCATGGTCGTCCGACGCATCCGCCTCCTGGGACTGGAAGTGGCCCTCGAAAAGACGAGGTTAAGTATCTCGGCCTGACCCTAGACCCCCGATGGAGCTGGGAGGAGCATTTCAGGCTCCTCGCTCCCCGGCTGTGCGGCGTCGCAGCCGGACTCGGTCGCCTCCTCCCCAATGTGGGGGGGCCGAAGGCGAAGTGCCGTCGGCTTTATCACTCCGTGATAAAGTCGATGGCGCTGTACGGGGCCCCGGTCTGGGCGGAGTGCCTCTCGTCCCGCACGAGGGCCCTCTTGCGAAGACCGCAGAGGGTCATCGCGACCCGGGCCGTGCGGGCTTACCGCACGGTCAGCCACGGGGCTGCCTGCGTCCTAGCAGGTACGCTCCCGTGGGAGGTTGATGCCCTGGTACTGTCCCAGGTGCATCAACACCGGGTCGCGGCGAGAGAGCGGGGCGAGCGATCCGTTCTAGAGGAGGTAGAACGGGTCCGCACCGAGGCGCAGGGGGAGGCTCTGCGCCGATGGGTGGAGGCACTCGCCAACCCAGCCGCTGGCCACCGGACGATCGAGGCGATTCGTCCGGTGTTGGAGGAGTGGGTAGGGCGCCAGCGGGGTACCCTCACCTACCGCCTGGTGCAGGTACTGACCGGACATGGGTGTTTCGGTCACTACCTGCACCGAGTCGCCCGTCGGGAGGAGATGCCGCGGTGTCATCACTGCGCCTCCCCCGACAACACGGCCGAGCACACGTTGATCGTGTGCCCGGCCTGGCGAGATGAGCGCCGCGATCAGATAGTTAAAATAAAGTTAGTATTTTATCTTAAGTTCTTCTTTCTCGGCGGAGGAGGCCTCACGCTGCCAAGTATGGTCAGAGCCATGCTTGGTAGCGAGAGAGCCTGGAGGGTTGCCGCCTCCTTCTGCGAATCTGTGATGGCGCAGAAGGAGGCAGCGGAGAGGGAGCGGGAGGAGGACGCTCTAGCCGCCCCTCTCCGGCGTAGACGGGTGGGCCGAAGAAGGCAGGCTGCGGTGACTGCCGGTCTTCGACGGCCCTAAGGTGGCCTGGGCGCGGCCTGACCAGCCGCGCGCCCTAGGTGCCGCTCCGGCATAGGCCACCACGTCTGGGGACTGCCTAGTACCCTAGCGCAGTCCCCCTGAGGCGCGTCGCCCGGTCCACTCGTTGGGCCGGGCCTGCCCGGGGGCGGGCTCGGAGTTGTGGCGCACGCAGGTGCTTCGGCCCCGAGACGCCCCCACATGGGCGTAGGAGGGTACCGGGGGGTTTTAGTGGAGTAGGATCAGTGTGGCCTTCCGCACTGGTCCTGCTTTAGTAGGGTCGGCACTGTTTCCCGTGCCGGCGAGTCCCACACACGCCGTGCGCCTAGTCAGCGTCACGGTATGGTGCGTAACTGCATTTACCCTCGTCACAAAAAAAAAAAAATATGAAGTGAAGTTTTTATCACTGGTTATTTTCAGTATTTTACCCGCCAAAGATTTGTGAACTGCGAAGCGATGGCTTCAGTATAGATATTAGAGTGCTTGTTTTTAGACTAAATAAATGACCTGGAAGGTTGAAACCCAATCCTTTAAATTCTGAGTTGTGCGCCTACATCGAATAAATGAAGATTGTGTATTAATGCAGCTTTGCTCGACAAATGAGCGCAGCGTAACGAACTAACTTACCTAATTATTGTTATTTAGCAGATTATAATGTAATCTGCCATGATAATGCCACTTTTCTTGGCGCTTGTGGACTATAAGAAAGCCCGATTACAGAACAACATCAACGGCGAGTACCTAAAACACTTAATACTTACATGGCCGTGCTGAGTGCATCACTGAATGAGGCGACTAGTTGACTTCCCATCCCTAAGCCGTGGAATATTAATCCGACGACCGTCACCCATATTGTACTAAAACGAAACAAATTTATATACTTAAAGTCAGATGGTAATTTATTTATTGAAGACATGGTAGCGCGTCATGACACAGTCTATATAGATGTTTACACTGAGATTCGGCTTTGATATTGGCTATATACACTTCCGGACACATCTATCGGTTCATTTTGCATCTTAAGTTTTGACGGTCACAAAAAAAAAGATTTTACGCAATTTTGAAGCTGATTTATGAACTGTCATTTTCGCGTTATTTTAAACTTATATAATTACTAGCGGCCTCCTGGATTTCGTGCGCATCAACTTTAGTTTTTTGAAAATCCCTCAGAACCTAAGTTTTTTCCGGGATAAAAAGTATTCTATGTCTCAATCCAGGTCATAAACTATATGCGTACCAAATTTCATCCAAATCTGTTTAGTAGTTTTTGCGCAAATTAGACCTTCACGTTTATAATATTACTGTACAGTAGGATAAATAAGATTACTCAACCTAACATATATTTTTGCTACAGCCCATCGAAACTTATAATAACAAAGTGGGCCGACAGATGTATCCGGAAGTATAGTTTTACGATATTCATAAGTTACTCACGTCGGAATATTGAAGAACGGGGCCGGTCCGATGAGCAGAAACCCGCCACCTATACAGAGGCACCCCACGGCGGTGATGTACTTTGGCCGCACGCCGGGCCGGTCGCACAGCCAGCCCCACGCGGGCGCTGACGCGGCGTACGTTCCACCGTTGATCACGAACATCAGGCCCAGCACAGCCGGCGTGAATAGAAACTGGAAGATTTGAGAAAAACAACTTTAACTTTAATATTAGCAGAGGCTAGTACCCCCGGGGCTGGTATTACACGTTCTCCTCTTAGTCAAAATTGAAATTGCACCGGCGAATATTAGAGAATGGGCCATAATAGATATCCGAAGCAATGATGGCTCATCATTAACCATCTTCTGTTTCAAGTGCCGAACGCAAGCTTTACTCATTAATCGATTTCGATTCGATGCCGAATACCCAGCGCAAGTTGGTTGGGCGGTTAAAACTGCAGAAGCAGTTGATAACAACAGTTAAACATGACGTGGGAAGCATAGAGGAGCTTGAGATTATGTTTTTGATGAGCCATTCGATAACTGGTAAGAAACAACTTTTTTAATCGTAAATCTAAATTAGTATTCTTCATTGTTGTTTTCATGCAGTATGTAGGAATTTAGGTAAGGTTGTCAGAGTGATGGAGACAAGCTAGGCAACGCGCGTGTATACTATTTGATGGCGCAAGCATTTGTACGCTTTGGTAGCTGTTTGTCATGCGTCAGTCTATTGCCATTTTTCCCTATGAAATACCGAGTGAATGGCAGATGGAGACCAAATATAAAGATAGTTCTTTGTGCATCTACATTATATAGTCACGTGTTGCACCATTCAAGTATATGCATGCGTATATTACCTTCTTAACCTGCACGATGCACTTGAGGTCTCTTTTAAAGACTAAAAGAAAACTGCACGGGCAAAGAATCAAATAAAATAAAATAGCTTAAAATGTATACCTGCCGTAAATGTGGTTCGAGTGTCGCCTGTAGAAATCCTATGCTCATACTGGTGCATATGATACTGATTGCAGCTATAAAAACGCCAGGAATTCGGAGCAGAGTCAACATATTAGCTGTTGGAATAAAAAAAGATTATTGCAATGTCGAATTACTTGTCTCAACAAGCAAATAATTGCAGTCTATTTATGTCCCCAAACTATGAGACACAGGCTTTTCCCAAGCATAGACTAGGGAGGACAGCCATTATCCACCAAGCGGGCGTAGTGCCGATTAGTGGGTGCTAACGACTGCAGGTGCAACCGGGATCAACGGCTAACGTGCCGAAACACAAAGTAACTCTAGATAATAAATTTTTGTCCAGGCTATGAACGGCCTTTCTGAAATTTGCTTTTGATATGGAGAAGATCTTTAGACAAGGTTTAGTTAAGTTTTAGTTAAGGACCTTGTCAATAATAATAACAATAATAATTTATTTATTTCTCTCCACAAACATCAAACGGATCAAAGTAAACATAGGTTATTTATATGTGTCTGTGGGAGACTGGAGTCTAAACTAGGCAGTAGCCTACCTGTATTTTAGAGCTCGATATAATAAATAAAAAAAAATATAATAAATCTTCGAAGTAAGATAATAGTTGTAAGGATTTAAATAAATGTTTACAGCCTAAACTCTCTGTGCATGTCGAAAGAATAAAAATAGTAGCCTTACGGTACAGGAAGTATTACAGCTTTATAGATTCATCGAGACTAGAAAAGCAGCTTCTCTAGAAGCTACTTCATTTCAAAAGCTATACATATCTAACAGGTTCTATATCTAACATTTTTATGTAAAGTTTCCATTTTATATATATATATATATATATATATATATATATATATATATATATATATATATTTATATTAATTTGCAGATTATTATATTCTACACACTTAAATGCTTGCTTTATTACTACTATGTATAATAAAAAGAGGGTCGGGCCTAACACACTTCCAAAAGAAACACCGCACCGATTAAAGACAAGGCAAATAGTTTGAAGAATGGTTTTGCTCATTGCCCGAAAACATGCTAGTTCTTTACTTTCTTCTCTATCTACAAATAACTCTCTATCCTTTATAAATTGTCTGTCCCTTAGATGCCAAATTTTTTTTAAGTTTTCCTAACAGTAATTTATTAGAGACAAAGTCAAAAGCTTTGTTCATATCTAGAAAAATAGGTAATGTGTAACTTTGTTAAGATTTTCTTTTACCACAAGAAAACACGATTTAGTTGTCGAACTATTTCTTCTGGTGCTACTACGATTGCAGACCGATTGCGCCTACTACAGCGTTATCGAGCTCCTCATGTGCTTTGATATAATTTTACTAACATTATAAAAATGAAAGTTTGTTACTCAATCACGCAAAAACTACTGGATAGATTTGGATGAATTTACGCATATAGTTTATGACCTAGATTGAGACATAGAATACTTTTTAACCCAGATACCTGCTGTTTAAAAAATATCTCAAAAAACCAAAGTTAACGCGGACGAAGTCGCGGTCGGCCGCTAGTATTAAATATTTATTAAAAAGCGTGTCTTTCGTGGTATACTCAAAAAATAGTTTTATGAATGTATTAATAAGCTGGCATACTAAATAGACTACATATTAAGTACAGTAACATAAATGATAAAACAAATGTAAGGATAACACTTTAAGATATCTACAATATTGAACTCGAAGTTTCACTGTTAGGCCAAGATTTATTACAATTGTAAGTTTTGGTTTGGCTCGGTAACAAACAGAATACATAATAAAGTTTGGAGTACTATCTCATATTATTCCAAATATGATAATAAGATGTACTTACTTAAAATGTATTTCAATTCAATATGATCACAAATACATACCGAGTGACAAAAGGTAAAGATATTTTAGCAAAACTCACGTCCTGTAGGCTTCAAGTCTTCATCATCCTGGCTTTTGGGTAGTACCAAGCAGCTCATGAGGGCAGCACAGAAGAGCGCAGAACCGAGCACTGCAAAGGGGAGCGTATACCCGCCTAGACCGTACAAAGCGCCACCCAGCGTTGGGCCTACGATTAGGCCCAGACCGAAAAACGTTTCTAGTGACGCCTGTAAAAAAATAATACTTTAGTCCCCCAAACGAGAGTTGGTAGTTAAGATAAGATATGACAAGAATGCCTTGAGCATTTATAAAGTACTAGCTGACCCGGCGAACTTCGTACCGCCTTAGCGTAGCTTTGATGCACTACTTTTTTTTTCTTTTTTTTCCCCGTAAGAACCTTGTACAGAGTATTAGAAAACTACAAAAAAAAATCAGCCAAATCGGTCAAGCCGTTTTCATGTTATGTCGTGACAACGGAAAACGGGTTTCATTTTTATATATATAGATTATGTACTAAAATTATAATGAACTTTGATCAACAAAAGTCTAAGAAATCAAAGAAATGAAAAAAAAATGACATAGAAACTTAGATCCAAAATGGATCACACTGATATTGGAAATTGCTAAAAGTCTTTATGAGGCGAACCAATTTTTTTTTACAAACCTGGGATAATAAGTACGAAATTTTATACCTACTTCTGAATCTCACATCCAAGAATTGAGAGTTATCACGATTAAATTGCATGATGGCCGTAAAAACGGGATCTGAAATTGTTTGTTTGCTCTGTAAAGATCTAGATTGCCTTCAACATTCAAACTAGGGCGATAAACGCCTTTAGGCAAAGGACTGCCAATGTTTTCTTATCTTAACTTAATTTTTTAGCAGAGTAAAGATAATTTAACGACTACGATTCATATCATTTTTAGCAGATTGACTCCTTATATTTGAAATCTGTGAAAATAAATACTGAAAATTAATTAATTATTTATTGTTTGAAAATAAATCTGAGTGATTAGTTGAAAATAAATACCACCAGTTTCATCTGCTGCACCTGTTAAAAATATAATGCATTTAAAAATACTTACAAACATAGTAGCGACATTATTGGGGAACTCCTTGGCGATGATTGCGAAAGAAGCGGTGAGGAAGGCAGCGTTGCCCATCGCCTCGATTATACGGATCGTGAAGCTTAGCGTGATGAACGGGATGTGGCCCTCCACTTTATCTAAAAGCCTAGTTAAATCAAAATAAAGAATTCTGAGTAAATGCACGTAATTACGAAGAGGAAAGCCTTAATGTGTATCATCGTTATTAGGTTAGACGGAGCAGCTTCATTAACATTTTATTAACAAAATTTTAAGCAATTCTACATACAAACATAGAGGCTCAGCGTCAAACCCAAACCCTTGCTCAGCGCACGTATTTTAAAAGTAAAGTTGACTTCAAAAACAATATTTTTGAAATCTGTGAGCATGGCAAGAAAACAGCATTTTTTTTAAGTGTGTGTAGATATGCCGACTTACGTTATGTGCGTGGTATGTACACCGGTTTTCAAGGCGTCGGCTATTCTCGAAGTGCCGGGTTCGAATCCCGGCGGGGCAAATATTTGTTTAATGAATACGAGCATTTATACCTAAGTCATGTTATTATTAATTTATAACTTTTGCTAAATCATGTTCTAATTAAGTCATGTTAATATTAATTTATAAGTTTTGCTAATGACGGCATACCCGAACAGTATGGCGCAGGTGCCCGTGGTGAGTATGCCGCCGTTGAAGAGCAGCTTCGGCCCCAGCCTGTTGAGATGAGCCCCGTACAGAGGGCTCACCAAGAACACCACCAACTCGAATATCCCGAATACTAGCCCGTACTCTGTGGCCGAGCATCCTTTTTTCTCCGCCTGCAAAATGTTTAAATTGAAATGTAAGGACTTGAGAGATTATAGGTACATATATATTTGCTTCTTCCAGATAAATCGAAATTGCTGTACTGGACAAATACATAAGTGCAGCGGCAAAATCCATATCTGTCGTGGTTTAGCGACCAAATAAATTACAAAGTAAACTCATATCTGTCGTGTGATTTAAAATGGAACGATCTTATACTCCATATTTTTTTTCCAAATATTAAGCCGCTGAAAAGTAAAAAATAATAAACCTTTTTTATCTTCAGTCATATTCAAATATATATAATATATTTGGAGTCGGCGCCAGTGCCAGGTCAACCCAAGTAGTAAACAGGAACTCAGCTCTATCAGACCACCGGCACCGGCATGGCACCGAATCCAAATATTAATTTGACTAAAGATAAAAAAGGTTTATTATTTTTTAGTGTTCGGCAATTTAATTTCTTTCTTAAAAATATTTTGTTTTGCATTTATTTGTGGCTATAATTATTGTAATATACAACTCGGCATCGAAATCTGTGGGTGAACAATCACCCCTATTTTCCCACCCTTATGGTATTTTATTTTTCTTAATTTATGACAGACCAACTTTGACGAATCTCCTTTCTTATTAAAGAAATTACTTAGACTACTCTGTAAAAAGTTATGTGATATACATTACAATCAGTGATTGAACAATTAATCATCCCCTGATTTAATACTCTTAGGGTTGGTTTTTTTTTCAAAATTCATATGCGACCAATTTCGGGGGACCCTTACCAATAAAAAAAGAATGATCAAAATCGAACTTTTCAGAAAGTTATGCGTGGTCATACATAATATATATATATATATATATATATATATATATACTAGCGGATCCGACAGACGTTGTCCTGTCTACACGTCTTTGTGAATCTAAACCATTCTCAGATCCCCTTGAACACACACAAAAAATTTCATCAAAGTCCAGTCGTTTAAGAGAAGTTCAGTGACATACACACTCACAGAAGAATTATATATATAAAGATACGGGAGACTTGAGGACCTCCTACGTTATTTCCTCAGTTAAAAACATGACAGCCAAGGATGTAATTTATCGAAGGTTTTATTTAATTTTCGAACTGGCTTGCAAATAGAAAGCTGTACCCCTAGCACGAACCATTATCGAATTCGAATAGTTTACGAGTGCGAAATGTCAATGTCAAATTTTGTATGGAAACTTGAACAGTAGCGCCACAAAGTACGTAACGAGAACTAAACATCAGTACTCATTTGACATTGACATTTCGGGCTCGCAAACTATTCGAATTCGATATTGAATCGTGCTAAGGGTACTGTTTATTAAAAAAAAATGTGTGTGGCAGCTCCGACGTACGACTAGAGTTTACTCCTTAAGTTCGATAGTCTAACCAGACGCAAAAAGAGTTTATTTAACTTAAAAAAGATTGATACTGTATGAAAGGGTAAATTAACAAATTAATGGAAATAATATACATATATAAATATATATTTATTCATTTCATATACATTTATTATCTCATCAACATTGTCTGCAACAATCAACATTGTCTGCATTATTAATTACAGTGACAAGTGGTTTATGGTAACTAAAATAAGACACATGGACGTTCGTAGATACGTGGTTCACAAATCTTGAAAATACCGCATCAATGATTGTACCATACCTCGTTGTCCCCATTGCTCTATCAGAAACAATATCTAAATTCAGTTCAGATTTAAAAAAAAATATTAATGTCAATCCGTCATCTTTGTTTGTCAAAGTTGCGCGACATAGGATGCGCACCAAAAACGTAACGAGGTCATTCATCGATAGATTTTACTCCTCACATTTTTCTCATACCGGGCCCCTTATATATGCAAATCGATTCTTAAGGAGTAAACTCCAAAAAAAAAAAAAAATGAACACTTTAACGCGGAAAAAATATTGTTGTTCGTTTTTCGTCAGTGATCTTGAAACTTTTTAACCAAAAAATTCGAGATAAAACATGACGACGACGCCATAGTGCTGATAATTGTTTTTTTTTTTATCAAATGTTTTGCTAGTCGTGGAAACTCTTTGGTGATTATTTTAAATATCTTTTACGCCTCTTCCATGCTAGTAACATTATTCTGAGACGATCGACGATAAGGAAGTAAGTAGGTACTTATATGACAGGTTGAACTATCAGTCACTGGTCATTATGATTTGCGCACGAATAAGAAGCGCTGTCCAATAAACAGATATTTTACTAGATTACGTAGATTTTTAAAATCTCTTCATCGCAGTTTTTGTACTTTTGTTGTAGCTTTATATAAAAATGTTAGGCATTAATTCTTTTAAACCAATTTGTTTCTTAGGTTTTCACGCGCATCACTCATAAAATAAAATGAAGATTTTTCTGAAGACGCAGTCCTGCAAAGGCTGCGAAACGTCAGATAAATAAATTCAGTGCATATCCCGTCAAAATCGTTTTATTTCTTCTAAACCAAGTTGGATTGCGAATGAAAGACTAAACGCACAGAAGAAGTCAAAGCATTTCGTACCATTAAAGACGATTCCATCAAGCGGCAATATACAATAAACACGGTTCATGGGATAGCTCACTTACATAGCCCAAGCGATGATACTACACAATAAGTTAGGGGCCGGCCATTAATCATGTGATGTTTTTTTGGCATTTTATAATCCCTCCTCCCCCTTGGTGATACATGGTGAGGTTAAAGACTACACAAATATCACGTGTATTTTTTAGTGCCTACAAAATATTTATAAAATTCATGTATAAGTATCATCCAACTTTATTATTGGAAAATTAAAGACTACAATAATAACGTTTAGAGATAGACAGAAAAGTTGCAGGTTCTTTTTGACTGACATAAATATAATGAAAAAAAACCGAAAAACTTTCCTCCTCCATCCTCGGACCACGGCAATACACGTGATATATTCCTACACCCCCCCCTCCACCATTATGGACCCCTCACCCCCCTTTCGAGCCTCACGTGATTAATGGAAAACCCCTTAGGTTAGTGTTGTGATCATAAGGCGCGAGCCGAGCGAGCAAAGCGAGCGTGCCGCGGTAGCCTTTTCTACAAAAAATAAATCAAGTATCACCTCTTGGGCCCTGAAAGTACAGTTTTACCTAAACAGCGTAACCATTTTTGCTAATTTTCTAATCTTGAGCTTATAAAAAGCACCGTAGGTACAACATTAAAGAAATAACCATGGAATGCACCAACTGCAAGTTTTCCAAGTGTATATAGCAAAAGTCTGTCAGCGGAAATATTTTGAAACTGCAGTACATACGATGGAAAGGCAACCTGTCACCATTGTTATTACAGCTATTAACGGGATTGTTACCATGTACCTTGTTTTTTATGAGTCTCCGATATTTAAACTGAGAGTGACTGAGTGAACTGAAACTCATAAAAAACAAGGTACATGGTAACAATCCCGTTAATAGCTATAATGTTAGTGACCATGAAAGTTTAAAACAATATATCTGTCACTATTGTTTCCGTACAAAATATTTGCCCACATCAAAGTGATTCTGTTAATTAGATTAAAAAGTAATTTTAGTTTTTGAAATGAAACTTCTTTACGCACGCTTGACTTGGGGGGTAAGATGGCGAATGCGTTACGCGTTACGAAAAGTGTGTTCGGGCGAGGCGAACGGGAGTTCAGTGGGGCATATAAGCAAGAGAGCAGTACCCGCGAACATTTTCTTTCTCTCTTTCTCTTATAGCTAGTAAATGAAATATGTATATGTAAGTACATACATGTATATATTGTACACACACATTTAAATTTATATATACAGGTGGAGCTTCAGAAGTTTTACTTCAGTCGTGTGGTACACAAGCACACTCGTTTTTTTTTCAATTCAATTCATTTATTTCAGTCATTTAGCTATATCAATTTTGGCACTCATTATACGTCTTCGCATAATACCAACAGTCTTCGGCGTCGTCGTAAAGAAGTGTAACAAAGAAAAAGTACGCCATCAGTTGAGAAAGTACCTTAAAGTTAAAAAAATCTTCTGTTCTTTATTTATCATCGCGTTTAAAAAAACAAAATTTGTTTGGGAATAATTTAAATACACATTCCACTCACCTCTTGAGGGTAAAATGGTGCTTGTAATGCGACACAAATTGCATTGCAAAAGTCTGCTATTGAAATAACTATAATTGTTAACCACTGCCTGTCAGTGAAACCCATACAACTCATTTTTTTTAATGTCACTGCACTTAAGACTTTTTTACAAGAGAATTCACGGCTATTTTGGTTTTCAAAAAAATACTAGCTACTTTTTTTTTAAGCTGATAAGTTACACCATTTTTTTGTTTTTATAATTGTTACTGGCACACGTTCTTAAAACTTTGACAGGTATTCATTAACAAATATGTGAGTGACTATTCTGAGGGTGGACAAGACACTGAACCGAGACAATTTCTGGATATCGCACTAGTTTAATGGCGATAGCAACATTCCTCTCTGACAAGAATGAACTTTACTCTTTGCTATACAGTTTAATAATGATTGCACGGTTAATTAGATAATAACAAACATTAACATGAACTTAGTGAGGAATGGATGGGAGGTATATGTGATTTTGCACACACCGAAGGAACGTCCGAGCAATCAAATGCAGAAGTAATGACCGCCAAGTGTGATAAACAATACTTATGTAAATATCGTGTACAGATAAATATTTTATTATGTTTTTATATCTTTTATTGTTAATTATTAGTATAATATATAGTTTTCTATTAATATACTTATAAGTTATTAGTGAATAATCATAAATCAAGTGACGTTTCACCTTTCATTGTAACTTCTTAAACTATTCAGAAAACTTTTTCCATTTGTAATATGCCCTAAAGATCCTCATTTATCTTATCCTACTTCCCACTTATATTATAAATAGAACAGTTTGTTTGTTTGTTGCTCATCACGCGAAAACAACTGAACTGATTCGGATATACATAATTATTACCTTTCCTTGCATGAGCATCACAATTTACATTATATCATGTTTTTTATGGCTTCTAACGGTCAAACTCCGTAAATAGTAAATTGACAATTGAGTGGCGTTATATATCACTAGCGGCCGCCCGCGACTTCGTACGCGTGGAGTTACTTATTTGCACATACTTTTTGACGACTGCTCCTTCCCTTACCATACCGCTAGGTGATAGCGTGATATTTTTTTTTATTTTATTGACAAAGATTCACCAACAACATATAATTGTAAAATTATTAATATTGTAACATTACAATTTGAAAAAATATATAAATACCATACTTAAAGATATGCTTTTTAATAGGTGAATACAACATTCATATAAATACAAATAAACCACAATGACAGATTAAACAAACAAAAAAATATGTCCACCATCATGAAAAACAGGTATACTGAATTATAATATTATTTAGTCTGTGCTACGGTGTAATTTTATTTTTTCCACAAACAACCTCTTATATACGCGCTCAGTATTGTGGAAAACGTCGACACTGCAGTCTTGTAAATCATTGTAGGTACGCATACACCGGTATAGAGGAGCACACTCACCAAGTCTAGTATTGTTGCGAGGGAGATCAAAGCTTTTTGACATCGGATGTCTAGGTATTCGATAAGGGACTTTAATATTCACCTGTTTAATTAGATTTGTACAAATCAATTTTCCATTGATAAGCTTATGAAGTGTCATAAGATCAGACAGTCTGCGTCGGTCAGCCAATGGCGTCATTTTGAAGTGAAGGAGACGAGTATTGTAATCAGCATCCCGGGGAAAATCGCGACTACGATAAGCTAGGTAACAATAATATGTAGCCTATATGTTGACCCGACTTCTTAATAATATTCGTGCCAAATTTGAAGTGAACCCATGCAGTACTTTTTGGGTTTATCCCGGACATACAAACAGACAAAAATTCTAAATATATATATATATATTTTGCTTCGGTATCGATGGTAGATCACACCCCAAGTATTCTTTAAAAAATATTCAATGTACAGTTTTGACTTTCCTACCATTTTATTGTACTTATGTATAGATATAGCGGTGCTCATACTAGGGGGCAGGACTGAGACAAAGGATACTATTTATCCCGGAAAACTGTTAGATTTCTGTGGGATTCTCAAAAATCAGAAGTTAACGACGAAGTCACCTGCGCCCGCTAGTTTTTAATATTTGTAAAACGCGCACCTACAAATAATGATCGATTGTAGTTATGTAAGTATTTGATAAGGGGAATCACGGGGGAGTCACATACATTTAGTACATTAAAATAGTTCAAATTTGACGTATGGCATTTATCTCAACAAATTCTTGTCGTTCATTTAAAAATATGCATAAATATATATTTAAACAAATGACACTTAATCATATCATTTGAATGTGATAAGTTAATCGACGGTCCAGTACCTTGACACAAAAGATTCCAACCCAGAAATGAAGGAAGATTCGATAACGTTGTAGAAATACATTCGAGAATAAACAAATATACATTGTACGTTTTCTATTCTAGTGAGGAAGGCCAGAGTGGGCCTCTGAAATCCTAAAAAAGGGTAAATTTAATAAATAAAAAGACCCGACTGCCGTAACATTACTTCAATAAAACTGAAAAGAAGAAAACAAGTTCAGTAATCTATAATTCTGTTAAGTAAGAAACAAAGCTACTTTAATAGTCGGGACCATTAGATATTCAAGAATTAAAGTCCCGACTGTTAAAGTAGCTTTGTTTCTTACTTAACAGAATTAAAGACTACTGGACTTGTTTTCTTCTTTTCACTTTTATTAAAGTAACATTTCAACAATGTGTATAGTTAAATCACCTATACAAGGAGTCCCACTGCATTGCCACATGGAGGGAAAGTATATTAAATACTGAAAATAGGATATTTTACTGAAAGAAGACATCATTTTATTTTTAATAATAAGTAGAACTGCATAAACATATTTTTTTAAATCGCCTGGATTTTTTTCTTTCAGAACTGTTGTCCTCTCCTTTAAAGGTCACCCTTCTTGACCTCAAATCTCCCGTATTTTATTTTTTCTCTTGGTATGGACTTCATCCTATTCTGATTATATGTGTTCTTAAAAATCATCGACCCTTGCTCCAGTGGTTTAACCTACTTTCTAAAGCACGGTAAAGGTTTAGATAATAAATTTTTGGTTACCCATCATATGCAAAATTTGCCCATCTTACCCGTACGTCATCTAGCTCCTCAGCAGGTCTGCATGTAGGTCAATAAGGAAAAATACAATTTAATTTAAACGCTCTTAAGACACTGCCTACTTGTTTGTTTTGTTTATTTACACTTGTCAACTCGGCAAAATCAAACACATTAGATTAATCACTTAACTCGTGACTATCATTATTACTTCTTATGCAATACAATTAAATAATAATGCTTTGATCATTGAACATGTGGATCCTACCATCATTGTAAACCAAACGGATTATCATTTTGCTTATATTTATAATCATTATTATTTTGCGAGTTTACAGTTTTGAGGGCATTGATATATTAAAGATTTACTTACAAAGTAAAAAGAAAACATTTTTAACCCAAAGGATTGGCCATAAGTAATAATTACTAACCAGACGAATAGATAAAGGGATAACCGTCCGTCTATAAGATCTTTAAATAAAACCTTAGGATTAAGTAGAAAGTTAAAATGTCTACAATATAGGTATATATTGTATGTTTGCCGCTATATTGACAAAGACAACAACAACAATAACCTTATTCGTTCTTGAACAACCGCGACACCCTTTTAAATTTGACATTTGCAGTATGTAATATCATTCATGAGCCATAAAGTTACACAATTAGATTGTTCTTTTACTTGACTAAAGACTTCTTGGTGCAACGGTAGGGTTCGAATTTCGGAAGGGGAATTTGTTCTTTTAGTAAGCCTAGGTAATAAAATAACACGGCCGATGCGGTCAGGAGGCTTAGGTATATCAATCACAACAGAAATAGACACATTTTGTTAAGCAATTATTAATGGTGTCGATTCTGGCATGATTTCCTAAACCTATACTTAAAGGACATTGGGCAAAAATGTATGGACGCTGCACCCACGTCCGCCACGGCTTAAATTACATTTGTTTGAAAGGTATTATAGTCATGATCATCTGTGCCAAAGCGCATCAAATTCTATCCCGGGAGTCTTAAGTTATTTTAAGTTAAATAGGTACAAGTACTATAACGAACGAACATTAATGAAACAAGGGAATTAATTTCGTTAGTTAGTTCGACACTGCATAGGGGGCTCAGGTATAATGAGAGTACTTCACAAGGTTCAAGGGTGCACCCTTATGTTATTCTGCAGCAATAGAGTACATCCAAAAATCCCCGCATGGGTTGGGGTTTTTTCAAATATTCTGTTCGTTATAGTAAATGGTCTTCTTTGTAAAACGGAGCGTCCACAAATCACCCAACCTTGTCCACGCTTCGGAGACAACATGATTTCAGTTCATCCATACTAATTGACAATACCGATAACCGTGTTCTAATGTCCAAAGAGTGTTAGATAAAAACCAATAAAGTGACAGGGAGCGCACAATTACAACGAAGTAAGACGAGTCGACTATTTGCAAATGCAAATAAACCCGTTTTGAGGTGGCTCAGTAGGTACAAGCGCAGGATGGATCGGCAGGCTTTATCGTATATCTGGTTGTATAGTACGATATGGCATATTATTATGGTTACTAATAATATAAAATGAAGGTACTATAAAATAAATTTGTTTACCTACTTAAATATGCCCATGTGTCATATCTTTTGACTAACAGGATATTTTTTACGGTGTCATATCTTTTGACTCCCAGGATATTTTTTTCGGTGTCATAATAAAAATGGCTAGTTTTTCATAGATCTATCGATTCATACTAATTACATTGTTGGCGGAGCTGGGTGTGTTTTGCCCGTTGTCCTTTGACAACAGTATATCTTTGTCATATTATAAGGCAAGACTGATGTTAAATTAAGTTTTAAGTTTAGAGAATCATGTCAAGATAGACACCATTGTTACTATTATAAAGATAATTTAGTTAATATTATTGAATTGGAAGTATCCTATTATCATATCCTTCGCCATGAAAATGCTTATTATTTTAAACTAGGAAAGTTAGAAGTAGTTGGCACATCTTTTGTGTTCTATTTATTTTTGGAACAAATTTCGTACGGTACGGACTTGGTGGATGGGGGTAGGCAAAAAATAGTGTAAAATTTTCCGTGACTTGCCGCCTCAGATTAGAGTATTGATACGCCATTTATGCGGTAAATTTTGGTCTTTCATGGCAAGATTTTGTTTTTTATAGTTGTTTTCCTTCCATTTATGGTAGTTTTCTGCAACTATAGTAGTTTCATATGGTAGTTTTTTTCACCTATGATAATTTTCTCTTATTCATGGTAGTTTTGGTTGGAGGTTTTCTTCCTTCCATTGTAGTTTTTACTCATCTATGGAAGTTTTTTAAAGTAGTTTCCTTTACCTATGGTAGTTTCTTATAGTAGTTTTAACTGTATTACAATCGAGTATTTCATGACACTCACGTTATTTTTCGAACCTAGTTTATTTAATTGATAACTAAAAAATGAGATTAGTAAATTTTCGGGAATTCAGACGTAGTCAGTAGTCACACACATATTGTTATATAATTATATCTGTATCTTACTAGGTGGAAATTCAGTAAGTAAACGATAACAAATTTGCGTCGCGTCTACGATTCTCTTCATTTTTTTATCATTCATTAACATATTGTCAAGAAGGACTTGTTGAAATTTTTTGAGGTTCCATAGAAAGCATAAATCTTGTTACTGATTTAAAAATTTCAGGAATGAATCTTCATCTATCGAAGCATGAAGCTAAAATCGATACAATAGCATCCCCAGCCCATAAAGCCTTGGTTATTGAGCTTGAAGTTCGGGAGTATCAATGGTAATAAATAGTATCTACGTGTTGAACGGAAGGGCATAATATTTTTTGATACTTCTTTACTCGACAGAAACACTTTTTTATTGTGTACACATCTAAATCAACAATACAACGTCTCTTATTTTAATATTTGTTTATTATGACGACCTCCGTGGCCGAGTGGTTTGTACGCCGGGTTTCATGGCGTCGCCGACTCGAGAGGTCCCGGGTTCGAATCCCGGTGGGGGCAGATATTTGTGTGATGAACACGAGCATTTGTACTCCAGTCATGGATGTTTAAATATGTATTTCTATATAAATATACTTATATATGTAAAGTAAGTGTATTCTATCCGTTACCCTAGTATTCCATAACCCATTGTGTGTTGGAAGTTGGAGTGTTGGAAATATTTATTTATTATTTATTTATTATTAAATTGTATCTAATTAGCTACCTAACGTCACGTCGTGTTTGGATATTTTTAAAAGTTGACCTAATGATCCGTGGATATTGCGAGATTTTGGATTGACTCTTAAGTCTGTTTTTCGAATATACCTATATTAACAATGAGGTATTGACTTTTCGTAAGTCGACTTGACGTTAATATTTAATTACGTACTTAAAAGAAAAAAGCCCTGTGCATATTAACGTGTCGTGGCGCGCCAGAAGCACATCGGGTTCATACATTTACTATAGATAGAAACATATTTACGAGTCGTGTCGTGTCGACGCTCTAACCTCTCTCCCTCCTGTCAGAATATCAGCGCCGCACTTAGGCGCCGCAGCGACGCCGGCGTCGCGTCGCTGCGACACTATGCTGAGACAGGGACCTAGTTGACCTTTTTTTTGTTATTGCTTTTGTTTTTTGTTTAAGCTAATTAAATTCTTTCTTTCTCTTTCCAACCCATAATAAATGTATGAAACCGGCACGACACGCCACGACACGTCACGACACGCCACGACACGTCACGACACGTTTATATGCACAGGGCTGTAA